CTCATAAGTTTATATAGTCTTAGCGTTCTAAGCTAGCTTTATTAATTGCGCCTATGGCCTACTACTCTTGAACATCCATGCTCGAGCTATAGCATATGCCCAGGCGCTTTCATATTTCTCACTTTCTGTTATCCCCTTTCACTCGTCCCAGAAAACTTCAAATGCTATATACCATGGCAACTCGGCGAAAAGCCATAGCAATAGCTTATTTTGCTATTTCCGATTTTTTTCCCTTTTAAGACCACGATACCTAGCATTTGAGGACGCTTTTGATTGAAAAGTCGATGCTTTAGACGACTATTTTCATCTACGCTTCTGTAAGCTTGACGGATTTGGCTTCACTGTTTAAAAACATATCTGGGACTTAACTCGTTTTAGAGCTAGACTGATCATAATTTAGCGACATGATCGTGGTATCAGGGCGAACTCGGAGTATGAACCTAACCCTGTCTCTTCTGATAACTTCCAACATTGAACGGTTAACTTGATATATTCGAAGACGTTTCGCTGGCATCTAACTTAGCATCACCAAGAGTTTGTCACTGAGTCGGGGTGACAGGGCGACATTGTGGAGCTTACTCAGTTTTGCGTCCTTTGCCATTTTACTCATTGTAATCGCTAGCATCAGATGGTCGACTTAGTAAATTCTCAGGTATTTCACTTTTATTGTAGTAGACATCATCAATGAGAGGTGCCATCCATAGGACCTAGTTACAACTCGTCAAAGTGACATGTTATGCCTACTCAATATAGCTGTAACATATTTTAACTAAACCTAAGACATTTCCTTTTTCTTCCTATCCCCGATCTAAATATCCAGTCTACTTTTACTCGTATAGTGTGTGAGCAAACTCAAGCTTTAGCTCTGGGATTGAATATGTCCACGATTTTAGGCAAAAATTACGTGGGTCACTTGGATGGTTGCCTAATTCAAGAAGCACTTCTAGTTTCTAATCTATTATTTAAATATTAGCTCGACTAATTTACATTATAGTTGATCTCCATATGTTGATAAGTAGAATTGATGGGCTAAATAAAGTAACTTCAGAGTTAGTAAAGAATGGTGATAGTAGTTATGGAGATAGTGTGGCCTCTTTTTGGCCTCGTTTCTCTTTAAGGAAGTGGTTATAACTTGTTTTCGCAAAGTGGTTCTGCTGTCAGTCTCCTCACGTGAATTTTGTTGACTCAGGTTTCTACTAACAGTTAAAGTATATTCAAAACAGAAGGAAAGATACCAACCAGAATCATTCAGCAAAAAATTTGCCAATGGATGAACTTTACTTGACAAGTTGTAGCTTGGCGCTAATGGCAAGACTTACTGAGAAGCTGGTGAAACGTCTGTGAATGAACTGAGTCTACAGTCCGATTCTGGGAACTATCATGACTACCATGGTAGATGACATCGAACAAAGTGCATTCATCTAGGTCCCCCTAACAACACGACCAAGTCGAGCAAACGAGATCAAACCACTTCTGAAATTTGGCAAATTGAACGTACTTGTTATCAAGAGAGAAGTAAACAGTGTATATGTGTGTAAGAAGCCAAAAAATGTGCTTTTACTTGTGTTTTTTATCTAAACACGGATATGCGGTTAAAGTAACAATAAATATAAATTATCGATAGTAAGAGGCCATAGTATTGAAAATGTTATTTACCGAGACCGAGGGATGATAAATCTAAGGACACTTTTTGTTGAGAGGAATTACTAGCTGGGAATAATTGGCAATTACTTGAGATTTCTAGGAAATAGGATGGAGCAACTTTTGTGGACAAGATTTGTCCATTTGGGTCCTGAGGTTACCCTCATATCAGCTCTCGAAAAAGAGAACAGAATTTTTGATGGACGGAGGCATCATAAAATGGCTTAAAGAGTGAAAAACACTCTTGGGAATTTTCAGACCATTTTATCTTTATTTGATAACATGTATTTTTGGATCAAAATGAGCAGTTAAGGCTGGAACCGCTAACCGATGCCAGCGAAATGTCTGGGAATGCACAAAATTAACGTTCTGATGCTGACAGAATACACGAAAAAATTCGGATGATGCAATACGAGGTTGCAAAAACGAGTTCATACCAAGAGTGTACACTATCCTTAGTTTCGTGTTAGTCTGTCAGAGCGAATTGTTTTACTCTGCTCCAGGCTTCCAGTTGCATATCGAAAGGGCTAATCCTCTAATTCGCCTCTTGAGAGTGCTACTCCAACTCTGGACGAATCTTAGTCTGCATGTTTAGCTTGAAAACTGACCAAATCGATCGATGTTCAAATAAGCCTGTCTGCACGAGTGCATGCGTACGTTTCTGCGTGCCTGCGTGCGTACGTGATTGTGGGCACGCTTTGCTGACCTGCAAATTATGTCTGTATACAACATCCTGGGCCCAGGTTACTCGCGTGAAGGATGGCCAAATTCTCTATTTCAACATCACTGTTGATTGACAGCCTTATCGGCCACACACACCCACACACCCCCATACACACATACACAACCACGCAAGTTGGTGTTTGTGCAGCGATCTCATTCAAATTGGAGGTCAACTTCTCAGTCGGATCGATCGTCTATTCTGCCTTTCGTCGGCGCTTATGCAGAGACGGGCCTATGTGCACAACTGGCCGACCGGCCGACGACTAATTGTCTTGTTGGCTGTACTGTTTATGCCTAGCCTTCCCATTCACATGCTTTGCTCCTCCCCCATTGTGGTCCCTCCCATCACACCCGGTTATTCATCACACATCCCGTACTTCGACTTCACCATGGCCTACCTTACCAGTTCGGATATTGTTGATTCCTCGCGCCCGGAAATCACAAGTGTCTGACCACATTGTGGAGTATCTGGAGTCCAGCTGAAGCCGTTGCTTGGGGTTTGCCGAATGCATTCGGTGAAATCATCAAAAATAGATAAATTCGTGTGCACATATGCAACTTTCTCCTTATGTGAACGGCCATTGCTGTGTTAATCCACATCCTCGTCCTAGATCGGGCATATCTACACCTGCCCACGCACACATGCACATGTACACAAGCACATACACACGCCTACAGGCATGTCTCATTACTTACGGACTGTTTGAGAAAATAATATTCGTCTGTCAGTTGAAAACACGACTTCATCCACCACTTGACGTCCAACCCGAAGGTTAGCCTTTTCAACCTGATGTAAACAGGTTACTTCTGCCGAGTTTATGGGGGACCCGGTGAAATGCACACTCCGCCAGGCCCCGATCGATGCACACAATTGTCCTCTTCACACTGACACATTCAATAGCACTCATATGTACATGTGATTTGCTTGCGAGTTGTCTTGAGTGGGGCAAGGAATGTGTATGAGAGAGAGGGTGTTAGGCATAATTGTATCCCTCGAATAATATTCGCGGGACTCGGTCGCTACTCGGCTTCTCGAGGCTTCTTCGTTGGTATAGTCTGACAACCAAACAGGCGCTTGCACGTTGTATCCATAGTTTTGGCATTTTTTCCTCATAACAACGTCAAAGAGTATTGCTCTCTTCTGACATAGCAGCATTCCACAGAGCTGGCCCGTAGGGAGATACGAAAATAAGTCGGCTTTTCAGATGAATCACTTGTTTTACACAGTGTTGGGCTCACTTCCATTTCGAGCGAAAGTGTGTGCTGAAGAGGGTCATGGAGGTCGACTATAGAGGACGACAATGATGGATTTCTTTCTTCAAGTCCGGTGAAAACGGACTAATGAGTCAAGCAAACTCATCGGTTTTTGAAAATGGTTTGACCTCTTCACAACTTGGTTGTGTTGTCATGGCGACCTAGATTAATACACTTTGTCCGGAGTCCTTTGCCCTAATGGCCATGATAATTTTCAGGGTCATCGCCTGGTCTTCGTACATTCTCGAGTACCTTGCTCATGTACCAAGTCCAGGCTTCAACGTTGGAAGTTATAATGACTATTATAGCAAAGAATTCTGGGCAAGGTGCAATTATACTGGTCGACATGAAAACACGACTAAATTGCGAAAACTAGGTCAAGCCACTTTTATCCCATGACTAAAACAGACGCCATACCAGCTTATAGCCTCTTCATTTGACACTTCCATTCGAAAAGAGGGTATGCTCATCTTTTTACCTACGAGACTCATATTTGCAGAGGGCAACTTGCGTGTCTTTGATTTCCACCGGCTGCTGCTCTTCACACGACGATCAGTTGAATGATCTTTGCGCACACACAGCCAAATAGAAGTGTGATAGCCTAATTACCATCGCATTTATGCATAATAAATAGGCTTTGAGACCATTAGTAGATTTTGAATATGAACTGAAGTCAGTGTAGATTATGAAATTTTTCGCAGTAATATAACTAGGCCTCACGATGTCATTAGATTTCACTTCACTTTGCCTCCAAGTTGGTATCATACAACTCTTATTTAAGGAGCCATGGCTAAAACTGTTTACATCCAGTCTGCTAAACATTCTGTGAACTATAATTCTGTTGGAAGGCTTTCGAAACTATTAACTAATCGTGAAATAGAACTTGAAACAGCTGTCATCACTAAAGGTTAGATGCAACGACTGTTAGTTGAATTTATCACAACTAACTGAGTATAAAGCCTCACTATGATGCTGACTTTCACTAAGTCCCATCACCAAAATGGCTTTATTCCTGACATTAGTGCACGTTCAGCCTCGT